TATCCAGGGTGATCCGGAGTTGAGTGAGTGCGAACAGTGGTGTTGGATAGAGAGACGAGAGTTGGAGTGTTGAAGCGAGCTTGTATCTGAACTGTGTTTTCGACTTCCATGTCTCTGAGCTTTGAGAAGGCGCTGTGCGCCAGTGTGATTCACCATCTGTTTGCATGAGTGCGAAGTGGAAAAGAAAGCGAGTCTGATTGCATATATATTATATATATATATTATTACAATATTATTATTATTATTATTATTATTATTATTATTTTATTGTTTTAAGCATCCCTTTAGTTTCTGACGTTATGGTTATATATGTGCTACAAACCCAGTTGATTCCATTCTTATTTATCATTTTATTATTTTACTATTTTGTAATACTTCAGGTTTGTTTGTGTTATTAGGTCTTGATTTGTTTGCTAACTTTGCTTTAGTTGCATCAATTTACTCACTGATCCATTATGCAAAAGGTATGCCGTTAACCTTTGAAAACAGATCCATCATCCATTGATTGATGATGAGGTTATGCAAAAAAAAAAAAAAAAAAAAAAAAAAGGTACCTTAACGAAGCCGCTATTGGCGTATGCGACATCCAGGTAAATAATAAATATACTGACAGAAAGGGTCTGGTTAGTTGTGGACGTCACCTCAGAAACTGACTGATGATGGTATGCAAAAAAAAAAAAAAAAAAAAGTATGTTAACGAAGCCGCTATAGGCATATGAGACATCCAAGGTAAACAATAAATATTGACAGAGAGGGACAGGTTAGTTGTTGACGTCACCTCAGAAACTACCCTCATAAGTACATGCAGGGTTACCAGCCCGTACGTATGGAGGCCCCCGGGCGGACCTCTGTACGTTCGGGCGTTCGGGGTCCCGTTCAGGGTCCGAACCTGAAGGGGTTCGGGCCCCGCCAAAAAATATTTCGGCACCTAAAAATAACTTCTTTTTTCTGATTTTCTTTTTGTGTGTTCTCTATGATGTTAGGTGCATGCCTATAAATTTTGAAGTCATTTTGTTAGGCCAAAACAAAATGAAAAATCTCCAAAGATGGAGATGTCAAAACGTGCTTTTTTTTTTTTTTTTCACTTCTTACTTTTTTTTTTCACTTTATTTCGGGGCCTATACAATTTTGTTATTTTTTGAAACTTTTTTCATGAGTTTTTCATTATCTGAAGTACACATATACAAATTTTCAGGGCATTTGGATATGTCAAAAAAGAATGAAAAATCGCCAAAGATGGCGGTGTTGAAAACGGGATTGCGCACTCACTAATTTTAATTCTCTAATTTCCATACTTGCAAGCAGACGAACCGGACGAGCGTCCGGTCCGGTCTGCGGCGGCACCCTCCCCCCGGACCGGACGGGGGCGTTTTTTTTTTTTTTTTTTTTGGGGGTGGGGCGTAACTGGTCGTCGGGCGCACATTCGTGCGCCGCGCGGGTCCGGTCCAGCGGTCTGCCGCACGTGCGGAACCGCTCGGACGGTGTCCGCTTGCAAGTATGCTAATTTCTATTTTTATTTTTTCTTATTTTTCTTATTAGTGTTTATTTTCCGTATTTTATTTTTATTTCGAATTTGGTAAGGAATTTGGATGTAATGCTCAGGCAAATGTTGTTTATTTTATCGTTTTGCATAACATATGTTTTTTTTTCAGATTTTTCTGAGGCTTTGTTTTTTTTTTTTTTTGGTCCGCGTTCGGCCCGAACGACCGAACGCATCCCCAAGGGATCCCGTACGTTTTTTTTGGTCCGTGTTCGGCCCGAACGACCGAACGCCCGGAGAAGATGGGGAACAATGTTGGTTGGGGTTGTGGCAGACTGTTGTGTCCATCTGTGGCCGATTGAGGTGAGGTGACACACAAGGCATCCGCCACACAGGCAGCAGTCGCACACCGCTCTCGTCCAGCACAACTGCTTGTCCAAAGTCTAGAATTGGTTGGGTTTTGACTGACTGCCTAAGTGCTCCAACCGTCTGTGTGCTCTTCAAGGCTGGAAGTTTTGATACATTGACACCTGTACACTTCCTTTGGAAAAAAAAAAAAAAAAAAAAAAAAAAACGCGCAGGTTGTTGTAGAAGTCGGATTCGGACCCCAGAAGGTCCCTTGGATTTCAGCCATCTAGTTATCTGAATGGACCGTCTCATCCGAAAGGTCCCGTGTGTGGTGCCACGTTCGGGGAAGCCTGGACCCGTAAGGTCCCTGTGTGGTGCCACAAGGTCCACTTTCACACTTTCACACATTGAAACTTTGTCACTTTGAGACTTAGAAACTGTCTGCTACCCAGCAGCTGGGCTACAGTGCAGGGTCAGCCACCCCTTGGGGGGATGGCCCGGTAAATTGTACCCCGTTGGGGGTACGTGGTTCTTGATGAGAATGGAAGGGCTGCTCGCAGCACCTCAAGGGGGACCGAGGGTGACACCTGTGCAACTGGGTACCATAAAGGTCTCCTGGTGCGGGATACTCTTAGCCATTAGCCCTGAGATGAGGCGGGTGGGTACCGGCGCTCTTGAGCTGAATTGCCAACTGCCCTGCCCCCCCCCAAAAAAAAGCTTCCACAGTGTACTCAACTTGAAGTGCATGGCCCCGGTGTTACAAACTGATGTATGTTCATATGGGACGCTGGGCCCGGTTCCCAGCACGTGCTGCTCCCCACGAATAGACTGGAGCTTAAAAAAAAAAAAAAAAAAAAAAAAAAAAAAAAAAAATTGAAGTGCGGGTGAGGAGGATGAGAAACCTTTTATTATTAATTTCTTAGGGCATACTCACACCACGACGACCTTTTTACGTATTTCTGGACAGAATTGTGGCCTGATACATCCAGGTATGGCAGTAAATGCGGTCAGATACATTTGACATACTGCTAGAATGTGAGTACGCTCTTAGTATGATGATACTATGATCTTCTTTTTCTTTTTTCTTTTTGGAAGTTTTTTTCTTTTTTTTTCTTTTTTGTTTCTTTTTGTTTTTGGAACAACTTGAACTAATTCTAGCTCAAATGGTTTGCCAACCACCCCCAAAGCCTACAGAGAAAAAGCTGAGGCTGGGTTGGGTTGCTTGGCCATCAACCGTCAATGATGGCACAAATTGAATGGGGTAAATCTCTAAAGGTTGTGCAGTTTATTGTTTTAAAACTTTTAATTAAAAAACCCTGAAGGGCCTAAAGGCCCTAAACCAGTAAAGTTCAATGAACCTCGTAACTAACCTGGTCATTTAATTGGCCCGACATCTCGCCCAGTTTGTCGGGCCGGCCAGAATCCGCCGCCAGAGAGATTGACAATTTCACACCAAATGGTCCAAAAATCCAGACGAGTCTGAACAGGGCTCCCCTGGTGGGGGACATTGGTCAGCCCAAATCACTAAAATCAGTATGATTCATACTTGAACGTCGGGTCGGTCCGGTCCACTTTGCCGCGTGCGGCGCCCTCCCCCCGGACCAGATGGACCCGGGCCGGACCGGACAGGGCCTCTTTTTTTTTTTTTTGGGGGGKGGGGCGTAACCGGTCGTCAGGCGCACATTCGTGCACCGCGCGGGTCCGGTCCGGCGGTCTGCCGCACATGCGGAACCACCCGGACGGCGTCCGCTTGCAAGTATGGTATGATTGGAATGCCCATGATGGCATAAGGATCTGGCCTGAAAATCCAGGTTTCCTTAGAATCTTTACACATACTCTGCTTGTTGTGGTTGGGATGTGGAAAGGGGAGGGGGTGAGTAGGCGGGGGGGAAGGGGAGGGGATGGAAAAAGGTTAAGAAGGAAAGGGGAAACTTAAAGGGCTTTGGACTGGGTCTTAAAGCTCCAGTACACCACATATCGCCCCGCGGGTGTCAGCATGAAACCCGCACCACTTCGGAGGCCGCAGAGTGTACTGGCGGTTTAAACCGCCGGTCGGCCACTGTATTCGTTGGTCTCCCAGATTCAAGGATGCCGTGGATCTCTTAATGATTTTTTTTCATGGTGACCCGCTCGTAGGATCGCATATTCTGGGCCCAAGGAAATTGTAGGGGCCTAACTTCGCCATGCAAGCCTTGGGACCGGGCACCGTTTTTAATTTTCCTTGAAAAAGACGTGTTTTAATTGAAGTTGACATCAACAAAACAAGGTGAGGAGCGCACCTTTGATTTCATAAATTGATGCTTATTCTTTGACCGGAACCACCTTCTTTTGTTGATGTCAACTTCAATTAAAGCACGCCTCTCTCCAGGAAGCGGACACCTATTGGACCCCTGCAAGCGATTTTATTATTATTATTATTATTATTATTATTATTATTATTATTATTAACTAAGCTATATTCTTCTCTCAATTTCACCTTTCACTATCTACCTACCACTACTCCTAAGGCTATACAGGGGATCCCTGCAAGCATAGCTACTTCTCCCAATCAAGGGGGTGCATGTTGCCCCCCGCCCTAATCGGCAGTGGTCAGGGAGTAGGGTGGGGCTGCCGGTTGGGGGGGGGAGGAGGGGGGAGGGGGGGGGAGCTAACCCAAAGACCGAGCATTTTGCCAGCAGCTGCGCGTCCCATCCACTTCCCCCACCCCCATCAAGTACAAAAAAAAAAAGCAACAGCAGTGTCTATGGCCAGCACTCTCCCACACACCACACACAGAACCCCCCCCCCAAACACCCCCATGATTTACCTTCACCCACATTTGACCCTCTGAGATGTTTAATCCAACCCACCCTCTCCCAAACATTTTTCTGTTCGCCTCACCTCAATCCACCCCCCCCATTTATTTTTCAACGTTTTGCACCTTCGCCAGACCTGACCCAGACTTGTGGGTCGGGTGGGTGGGGGTGTGGGCACCCTTTGCTCACCTCTGAGTCTCTGACGCGTCCCAAGTTCAAATCTTCCCAAATATGATCGCGTGAGGGCCGCCGCTCTCCCTTTGGAAATTGAAATACCATGTGAAGTTGTGAACATAAAAAAAACTTTAAAAAGTTGATTAAACGTGCAACGTACTATCGAGTTGGGGTCAACTCTTTGCAATGCTGTTTGTTTGCAGGCCGGTAACGCTGGTGGGCTTTTCCCTCGGTGCGAGACTGATCTTTTCCTGCTTGGAGGAGCTTGCAATCAGAGGCGATTCTGGTAATTTATCGACAGCAGCTTATTTCTATCATCTTATACTCTACGACCGGCTCTTCTCTTCCTCGTCCTCCTCGTCGTCGTCGTCTTCCTCCTCCTCCTCCTGCTCATTTTTGTGATCCTCTCCTCCTCCTCCTCCTCCTCCTCCTCCTTATCATCATCATCATCATCATCATCATCATCATCATCATCATCATCTCTGTCATCTCCCCCTCCTCTTCCTCATCTTAGTTGTCTCGTCTTCTCGTCATTTTCTCCTCCTTATCATCTTTGCCTTCTCCTCCTCCTCCTCCTCCTCCTCTCCTCCGCCTCCTCCTTTTTGCCTCCTCCTCGTCCTCCTCGTCCTCATCATCATCAGTGTCATCTTCGTTGCTTGCCCTTCCGTTTCCTTCTCCTTCTCCTCCTTCTCCTCCTCCTCGTCCTCATCATCATCAGTGTCATCTTCGTTGCCTGATCTTCCGCTCCCTTCTCCTCCTCCTCCTCCTCCTCCTCCTCCTCCTCCTCTTCCTCCTCCTTTTTGCCTCCTCCTCTTCCTCCTCGTCCTCATCATCATCCGTGTCATATTCGTTGCCTGCCCTTCCACTCCCTCCTCCTCCTCCTCATCATCATCATCTCTTCCATCTTCCTCTTCCTCCTGCTGCTGCTGCTGTTGCGGGTCCTGGTCTTGGAAGGTGCAATGAAGTCCTATAGTCTGCTTGTCCCTTGATTGATTTGTCTATTTGTGCTATGCACTGATGGTCCATAACAAAAGATTTATGAATGTCGAATGCATGGAGCGTTGACGACAGCCTGCTGGAGTGTTGATGTTCGCAATCACTTTGGGCTGTTGACGCTCTTACGAAGACGATGAAGGTCGAGCATCGGAGCTTCTCGACGATGGGCCGAAGTGTTTTTTTTTTTTTTTTAACATTCGCCGGGCATGCTAGTGATGGTGGTAAGAGCGCCCACCGCTAGCAGTTTGTCTGACGACTCCAGTCTATTGGTGGGGAGTGCCACCTGCCGGAAAACGGGTCCAGCGTCCCGTATACAGAGACCCAAAGTAAATGCTGCCTCTCTTGATTTATTGACCTTTTTTCAAGTTTTTTCAACTTTTTTGTTTTTTTCGAGTCTTTTTTTAGTCTTTTTCATATTTTTGTTGCTTCTGCCCTCTGCTTGAGTGAGCAGCGAATGCAGGTGCAGTGAGTGGTGAAAGGTGGTAAAGAGGTGGGATGAGAGAGAGAATTGAGGTGGTTTTTAGGGTCATCTAGTGGAAAAATAAGAGCAGCAGTTGCATTCTCTCTGCTCGACCGGGTAGCATCTCTCTGGCATTCTCTGCTGTTGATGTTCTTATCTCTGTTGCTTTGTCTTGCTGACCTCTGTGCCTTTTTCTTTTTCTGTTTTCCCAGACTCTGTGTTATTTCCTGATTGTCTTCCTATTCCCTTTCTTATTATTTGAATTTATTTCCCTTTTGTGATTGGTTTGATTGTGCACGCAGCACCTGGCCATCATGCTGCTCTCCAGCGGAGTTGTGGGCACAGAGTCTTTTGTGTGTGTGTGTGTGTGTGTGTGTGTGTGTGTGTGTGTGTGTGTGTGTGTGTGTGTGACTCTTTCTGGCTGGGTCTCTGTTCCAAACAGACCCACGCACCCAGTTCCTGTGCGAGCACAGAGACTTTCGGTCGCTTTCTCATCAGTAGGTTCAGTACAACAGTGCTGGAGGCTGCAGTGGCCTTTTCCTATCAGCTCACCTGGTCTGCATATATATATATATATATATCGTCAAATAGAACATATATATATATATTGTCACAGAACTATTGACTAAGAGCATGAGCACATGAAGTAGAAGAAGAAATAAGATGAGCAAAGAAAAGAAAATTGAAATGACAGACAGGCAAAGAGATAGACAAACCAGAATGACACTTTGTTTCACAGTATTATTATTTCTTTCAGTGTTTTACAAAAAATATTTACACTGAATCAAAGGATAAAAATAAAAAACAAAGACACACTGAAATCATTCATTTTCTCAGTCTTCTTAACGCCTCCTCCACTGTGCCTCTAACGTACAAGGCTCGCCACGTTGATGAAGTTGAGCGCGAGCT